TTTGGCTTATTGTGGGCCCCTCTCTGTAAAATAAGGGGAGATCTTTTGGGACAGATAGCCTCCAAGTTCTTTGAGCTTCCTCACTTGTGAAGCTCTGTTCTCTGAGGCTTCACTTCCTGTACATCTTTGCCAAGTGTAGTCTTTTCTTTTGTCTCTGATCTCATTTCCTGTTCTTGGCCTGATCTCACTTTCCACTTCCTGACTCTCCTCCATTCTTTTTTCTTTCTTTGGAGAATTCTGGGTAAATAATTGTTTGACTGAAGAGGGCTTCTTTGTATAATATCTTTGGTCCTTCTTGAGCTGTCTCTGCTGAGAATTAAAAGTACTATAATGTATGAGAGGTGGTCTTAAAATACCCAAGAAACTTCTGGAAATTATTTTTGTTTTGTTTTTATGAGACAGGGTCTCACTATGTAATTTAGGCTGGCCTTGAACTCATAGCAATCCTTCTGCTTCAGCCTCTCAAGTGCAGGTATCACAGGCATTTAAAAATTCTTTCTTGAGATTTGAGTTGTTCCAGGGTTAATAAATGCTAGAAACCCTTGTACAAATGGGATTTGCTCAAGGAACCCTGTCAGGTGTTTAAGGTAGAATGGACTACACTCCCAGGAGCCTTTGGGGAGCTTCCTATTATCTTCATGCTTACCACTCTGTACTTTTCAGGGAGTGTGATCCGGTCACTAATGTTTTTGTCTCTGTATCTCCTCAGACTCTTTATTCAACATTGCCTGCTCTGCTGGACAGCAACCCCTTCACAGCTGGAGCAGAGCTGCCAGGGCCTGGCACGGAGCTGGGGGCTATGCCCCCGGGCTTGAAGCCTACCCTGGGCGTGTTCCAGGCAGCCCTGGAATTGACGAGCCAGTGTGAGCTGCATCCAGACCTCGTTTCTCAGACTTTTGGCTACTTGTTCTTCTTCTCCAATGCATCCCTTCTCAATTCACTGATGGAACGAGGTGAGGGTTGGGCCAGGAGGCACAGGTGTGAAGATGGGAGCCCCCCCGCCACCCCACCCCAGCAGCCACATCTGGCTAGACAGGGCACAGAGGCTGAAGCGTCCCCTTTGGGTACTCTGGGGAGTGGGCTCCAGTCCCAAACTCTAGGCTAGGAAGCATCTGGGAGGCAGAACACAGTCCACCCACCCACCGTCCTTCATGCTCTTCCCTCACAGGTCAAAGCCGACCTTTCTACCAGTGGTCCCGAGCTGTCCAGATCCGCACCAACCTGGACCTTGTCTTCGACTGGCTGCAGGGGGCTGGGCTGGCGGACATTGCTACTGAGTTCTTCCGGAAACTCTCCATTGCTGTGAACCTGCTGTGCGTGCCCCGCACCTCTCTGCTCAAGGTGACTCCTGTCAGCTCTACTTGACCATGACTTCTGACTCCTCAGTCCTGCTCACACACCTTCCATAGCCAGCACCTCCCCCACCCCGGGAATGCCCATGTCATGCCCAGCCCTAGCTCAGACACTGGATGACCAGGGGCAGCTAGAAGGAATCCAGCACCACCAACAACCAAACTCAGCTGTGTCCGAATCCCAGTGCAATGTATTCAGAGTTTGCAGGGTATGACCCTGTGACATGCTGACCAAGAAATGTGACAGTTAAAACAGTCATCAAAACCAGGCATGGTGGCACAAGCCTGTAATCCAGCACTCAGGAGGCTGAAGCAGGAGGATCACTGGGAGTTTGAGGCCAGCCTGGGCTGCATAGTGAGACCCTGTCTCAAAAACAGACAGACAGGGCCAGGGATTTAGCTCAGTGGTTCTGCCACCTGCCTTGCAAGCACAAGGTCCTGAGTTCGATCCCTGGTATCAAAAAAACCCCAAACAAACAAACAAAAAACAAACAGAAAAAAAAAAAACCAGACAGACAAAAAACAAACCAAACAAATACAAAAACCAGTCATTGAACATAAACTACAAGCCAGGCACTTCTAGCTTAATGCTGACAAATCTTCATGAAAGTAAATTACTAAAAAAAAAAAAAAAAGATGGCCTGGGGATTTAGCTCAATGGTTCTGCCACCTGCCTCGAAAGCAGAAGGACCAGAGTTTGATCCCCGGTACCAAAAAAAAAGAAAGAAAGAAAGAAAATAAGTAAGTTATTAACTGCCAGACATGGCAGTGCACGCCTGTAATCTCAGTATTCAGGAGACTGAGGCAGGAGGAGCACCATAAGTTCTAGGCCAGCCTGGGCTATACAGTTAGTTCAAGACCAGCCTAAACTACATACTGAGATTCTGTGTCTAAAATAAAAAAAAATAAAATAAAGGAACTAAGTTATTAACTGACAGTTTTTCAGATAAGGATACTGATTCAGGTATGACAGTCCCCTGGATTTCATTTATCTCTTTATTTTATGATACTGGGGATTGAACCCAGTGCCTTAGCACTGAGCTATATCCCCAGCACCCCCCTCCCTTTTTAAAATTTTGAGACAGGGTTTCCCTAAATTGCCCAGGCTAAATCCTAGAGTACTAGGATTACAGGTGTGTTACCATACCCAGTTTCATTTACTTTCTTTTATCAAACATTTACAATGCATTTAATAAGCCCCAAGCAGTGTTCCTTGCAAGTACTTTACCATCTTGCCATATTGCATCTTCACAATTACCCTACAAGTCCTATTCTCCCAATTTACTGATGAGAAAACTGAGACATATGATTTTTCCAGAAGGTTAATAGCCAGCCTGGGATTTCTGAACTCAGGCAATCTGGATAGAGAGCCTGATTTTAACCACACTGACGATTCTGGTGTCAGCTACGCCAAGCATATAAATTGTCACACAGGTACAAAAGTGGCCACAATGGAATATCAAACTCTTGTCAGTATATAAATTAGTGTCCAATCTTGTTCCTCACCTACTTCCTACATCCTCATTTACTCTGAAGCACATGATTTTTTTTTTTTAATTCCAGACAGGGTCTCACTATGTAGTTCAGATTAGCCTTGAACTCTCTATATAGCCCAGGCTTAGCTCGAATTTGAGGTGATCCTCTTGCCTCAGCCTCCTGAGTGCTGGGATTACAAGTGTGTGCCACCATGCCTGGCTCAGCTCATCAGTTGTTTTTTTTTTGTACCGGGGATCGAACTCGGGTTCTTGTGCTTTCGCAGCAGGCGGTGAAACCACTGAGCTAAATCCCCGGCCCATGCTCATCAGTTTTTGAAAACTGCTTAAAGCACACCCTTGACCACCATCACTTCAGCGACCATTTTCTTCATGTTGTCCAGAGACATGGCACCCACTCTGCTATCCGACCCTACATGCACTCCCTTCTTGTTGGTCCCTCTATCATGACTTCTTACCTGGTCTTCCCACCAGGCCTCCTGGAGCAGCCTACGAACTGACTATCCCACCCTGACCCCAGCTCAGCTCCACCATATGCTCAGCAACTACCAGCTGGGTCCTGGGCTCAGGCCACCATCTGCCTGGGACCCTCCCCCTGCAGAGCGAGATGTGGTGGCCACAGGTGAGGAGGAATGGGCATAAAGCACTGGGCTGTCAGCTCTCTTCTCCCCTCAGGACCCAGGAGTACATCTTCCCCACTCCATCCTTCTGACGCAACATTCTGGACCCCGAGCCCTTTCCTCTCCCAGGATGTAAATGCTGGACCCAGCCCCCTTCTCTCCAGGATATGAGTTCAAGCGCCCAGTTCCTTCTGATTTCTCAGAATTCCTGAGTCTTCAGCCCCTTTCATTTTCGATCCCTCACTCATCTCAGAGTCCAGGCCCTTCCACCCTCAGAAATCCCCAAGACCTAGTTCCCAGTCTTTCTTCAGGCACCCAAGAACATCGCCGTTTCCCAGGCAACTGGTCGGCCGCAGGCTGACTACAACTCCCATCATCCTTCGGGACCCCGAGAGTCGCGTTTGAGTGGATCCCGCTCCAGGAGATTTTTCTTTTTGGGGGGCGTGGTGCAACCGCCTCACGCTCATTTTCACACTGACACTACCCCTTCGGTCTCATAGGGGATATCTTCGAAAGCTTCTCCTCACATCCTCCCCTCATCCTGCCCCTGGGGAGCCCACGCCTGCGCCTCACAGGTCCGGTGACAGATGACGCTCTGCACTGTGAACTGCGCAGGCTCCGCCACCTCCTCTGGGATCTTGAGCAGCAGGAGCTTCCAGCCAATCACCGCCACGGGCCTCCTGTAGCCACGCCTCCTTGAAAACCAATAGCGAGCGAGCCCGCGAACCTTGAAAAAATTCCTCGGCTCCAACTCACTGGAGAGTTGAGCTTTCTGGGAGTTGTAGTTCTTACCCCGCGCGGAACCTGGGAGGTTGTTTTCGGGTAGTAAAGAATGGCACTGTGGGAAGATGGGCTTGGGATGTGAGTGCCAAGAGGCAATAAAAGTATCTGAGGTATTGTCAGCGCCTCGGTTATTAAAACTGGGCAGTTAGAGATGATGAATTTTAAGGCACCGGGCTCTAGCCTAGAGTGTGCGGAGGTATTTATAGCCACGGGCTCAACTTGCCCTCTTGCATGAAATCCAACCCAGGAGCACTGGGCCCTCCCGCACAATCCTAAATGAGCTCCGCCGAATATGAGGCCCGTGGTCCTGCAGTGGGAAACAGCTGCCCCTCCCTGCCACCCCCAAACCCTATATCCAACCCTTTCCTCCCTCTGACCCAGGCATCTGGGTCCCCAGCTCCCTCCCATCCACACTTGCCTGCCTGCAGGGGACACACTGAATTCCAACAGCCCATTCCTAGCACCTCCTCTCTCAGACCCGGCAGTCCATGCCCTCCTTTCTTAGACCCGGGGGGCCTGGGCCTCGGCTTTGAACTTTCCCCTCCCCTGAACTTGACTCCTGCTGCTGCGTCAGGGGAAAGAGGGCGACAGGTGGCACCTGCCCGGCAGGGCTGGGACCCGACCACCTGCCGCTGCTGCTCACCAGCGCCCCTCTGCCCGCACCTGCTCCTGCCTGTCCGCCTGCTGTTGCCGCGCCCGACCCACAACCCCAGGAAGCGAGGAGGTGCGAGCTAGGACCCGAGGTTCGCCCCTCCCCTTCCCAGGCCCCAGGCGGGTTTCCTTTGTTCCCCGCCCCGCTGCTGGGCTCCCGGCGTCCCAGAAAAGGGCGTCTAAGGAGTCCCAGGCGGACAGGGCGGGGCCTGAGGTCTCAACCCGCAACGGAGACTCCGCCCACTTCAGCACAGCTGCGCCGATCCCACCTGGTGAGGAGCCCCGGGGTGGGAGGAGGGACCCCCTTACACCTAGGCGCCTCTCGGTCCCGGCCCCTTCTATAAGGGCCTGGTAGCTGATGCTCACCCATTCCCTTCGCACCTGCCTGGACGCTGGAACCCTTCAACTTCTCGAGAACGCTCAGGCCCCCTTTCTCCTTTCAACAGAGGATCTTGGATTTGTCATCTCAGAGTACTGTGTTCCAGTCTTGAACTTCCGGTCCTTCAAGATACGGGGTCCAGGCCTCTCCGTCCCCTTTCAAAGCCCCAGAGGTCAAGGTTCCTAGTGGCCTCAGGAACAGGAGTCGTAGACCCCAGGTCTGCCAAATCCAACACTGGGGAGTTGAGGCCCCCAGTCCTCCTCCCTCAGACCCGGGACTCCAGGCAGAAGTCACAACAACTGCAGGCTACCCCCATCTCTAACTCTCAGGACCTTTCCTGATTTACTGGCTTTGATCTCGCTCTCTGTGGGGGCCGGGCCCTCTCCCCAGTCCAGGTCCCATTCCGGCCTAGGCGATGACCCTGGCGGCTTCCTCTCAGCGCTCCCAAATCATCCGATCCAAGTTCCGATCTGGTGAGAGGCCTCTCCGAAGGGTGGGCTGTGGCCCTGGGGTCCTGGGAATGCCACTCTGAGTGGCGAGAAGGACCTGTGAGGCTTGTGTTGCCCTCACAAAAGGCTCCTTGTGCATAAAGGAGTTCTCAGGAAAGAGTTGGGTCTTGGGGGATCATGATTGAGCACACGGCTAGCTGAGCAATGTGGGGTGGGGGCCAGACATGGGGTGCAGAAGGCCCGGGGCTGTGGAGGAACAAGGGCTTTAACTGATAGGGATGCAAAGCTGAGGACTGGAATGGGGTGAGGTGAGGGGACAATGAGCTATCAAAGCTTGGATGTGTCAAAGTTTTATGTTTTAGAGCCAGGTGTGGTGGCGCATGCCTGTCATTCCAGCGCTTGGAAGGCTGAGGCAGGAGGATTACCATGAGTTGGAGGCCAGCCTGGGCTACATAGTGAATTCAGGGCCAGCCTGGACTACATAGCAAGAGCCTGTCTCAAAAAAAAAAGTCATGTTTTAGATCCTAGGGTAGGAAGACTGTGGGTCAATTTCTGAGTAGGCAAACTGTACCTGTGTGTGCAAAGGAATGTGATTACATGCAAAGACATCATTCACTGAAGAACCGGGAGTGTGTGAAAAGGTACATGTGTATGGAAAAGAGTAGAAATATGCAACAGGAGATCCTTGTTCCGAGACTGAGCTGAACCCCAAGTGTGCAAAGCATGTGTTGTGTGGCTGGGTGGGTGCCAGGGTGTAGTGCATGTGGAGGATGGGTGCAAAGTTGGGTGTCAATGGGCCAGGCTGCAGCACTGGTGATTTGCCAGGTGTGGGGTGCACACGGCTCACATGGGGGCAGTGGAACGAGGGACAGGGCTGCCTCCCACCCACTGCACGCCCCTGGGTCCCAGCCCCGGAGCAGCCCTGGACCAAGTGCTGTGCTGGCAGGGAGTAGGCAAAGCCCAGGAAAGCAGCAGCGCTGCCCACTGCCCTCAGGGTGTGTAAGGGGGCTGGGCACATGTGTCTGCCAAGGACTGAGCCCCCAGCCACCCGGAGCCAGGCTTCAGGATGCTCCCGTCACCCCTTCCTCCTCCCACCACCCTCCTCCTTCCACAGTCCTCCAGCTTCGGATCCACAGACGGAATCAGGACCCAAGTGAGTGTGGGCCCTGAAAGGGAGGGCATGGTGGTCCCACCCCTCTGGGACACCCTGGAATCCTGGCAACAGATCCCTCACTGGTCCCTCAGCTCAGTCTCTATACATGGAAATCCCATGCTGTCCTTTCCCAGGGACCCAGTGGTCCAGGTCCCTGCCACCCCACCCCTAGGAGAGAGGCAGCCCAGGCTGTGCCTGCTCCAGACCTCTGAGACCCTCAATATACCTCCAGTGACCAAGGACAAAATTCCTGGCTTTTGTTTTGTTTTGTTTGTGATACAGTCTCTCTGTGTAGCCCAGGCTGGCCTGGAATTTGAGGTAATCCTCCTGCCTCAGCCTTCTGAGTGCTGGGATTATAGGCATGAGCCATGTGCCTTTCTTGAGAATGTGAAAATCCTCAGATCTGGAAGTCAGGGCACCCACCTGACCACTGCTCTCCCACACTGAGGGCCTGCCGCTCCTTTCCCTTCTCCCTGGCAGGCTTGCTGTGTGCAGGCCTCTCAGGGCCCTTCACTCTCTCCAGCCTCAGATCTGGATCCGTGGATCTCAGCCCCAGGCCTAGCTCTGGCCCCAGCCTTACCCTCTGCCCCAGCCCCTTTCCTCTTCGGCCCTGGGGTCCTGCTCCCTGATCCAGAGCGTTGCCCATGGCAACACCCACAGCAGGTGAGTCTGCCCTGAGGAGGTCACCCTGAGATCCAGCTGTGGTCCTTGTCCCTCTCAGGTGCCAGGCTGACCCGGAGCTTTGGACACAGCCCGGGTCCAACAAGGTGGGAACCGGTGCTGAAGCACAGGGCATCACATCTGCTTTTTCAGGAGTCGCCCAAGGTCTCCCCCCACTGGAGAGCGCCCAAGCCCCAAGCAACCTTGACCTACCACCAGTACAGGCCCCCAGAGCAGGGCTACAGAGCCAGGGGAGAGCCAAGGGGGCCACCTCCATGGGGTGGGACGAGCTCACGGCAGCCATCTCCTAGGTATGACTCATCTCTGCTCTCTGGATACCCCGATTTTCCATTCCCATCATTCAGAGTCCAAGACTCGGGGGGGCCAGGGTCTGGCTCCAAGTCCCTTCCTTTCCCAGACCCCACTGTCTCGGCTTCCAGCTCCTCTCCCTTCAGACATCTACCCCATGTGTTGCTCCCTCAGAGACCACACAATTCTTCGCTCCTGCTTTCCCTGTCTTTGGGGACCCCCAAACCTGCCTCTCTAACCTGTGCCCCCCATGACTGTACCTAGGATGAAGCCCACACCCCTCACTCCCTCCCCACCAGGAGTCTCCAGCCCCTCGCCTTCTCCACACAGGTTGGAACTTCAGACCCTTAAGCTGGAAGAGCTGACGGTGAGTTGGGGGGCACTTTTCCAGGCCAGTCTTTTCCTTCCATGAGGGCCAGACTCCTTGGGGGTAGGGGGAATGGAGGCACTAGAGACTGAAGCAAAGCCTTCACACTGGGCTATATTCCCCCCAGCCCTTTAAAATTATTTTTAGTTTTTATTTTGAGGCAGGGTCTTGCTAAGTCGCTAAGTATTCCAGGCTGGGTTCAAACTTGCCACCTTCCTGCCCCAGGCTCCCAGACTGTTGAGATTATAGGCGTGCACCCCTGGGCCCGGCACAGCGGCCTAGACCTCTAACCTGGGAGCCTCTGCCCCAAGGAAATCCAGGAGTTTGGATCCTCAGTCTTATTCTTGTAGAGTCCCGGGAGGCCGGACTCAGTCCCTCTCTGGTCGGTTTTCAAAGGTTTTGGCCCCGCCTGCGCCCGGAGGCCCCCAGTACTCCCTCCCTCTGTCCCTTTGCCCAGGTCTCAGAACTCCGGCAGCAGCTCCGCCTGAAGGGCCTCCCGGTATCAGGGACCAAGTCAATGCTCTTGGAGCGCATGCGCAGCGGCGCCCCACCCCGCGAGCTGCAGAAGCAGCGGCGCGAAGGAAACGCAGCCGACACTCCCTGGCCGCGTCTCAGACCCAAAGCCCTGGGAACCTCCCGGCGGCAGAGAGGGGTGAGGGCGGGGCTATGCGTTTGTGAACCAATGAAAACAAATAAAGCGGGATGGGGCGGGAAGTCGAAAAATGAGTAGCCAATGATATGGGGGGCATGACCCGGAGGTGAAATCAAGGTGAGGGGCGTGGTTAATAGGCGGATTTTAAGGGAAGAGAAGCCAATGAACGAATAGGGGGCGAGGCCAAAGGAAGAGTCAATGAATTGCCTCGTTAGGACTGGGGATGGAAGCTCAGATTGCGAGTGGGTGGGGTTAAACCCCGTGTGTGTGGTTTACGGGACCTTGCTGGTTTCGCGGTTCCAGGTCAAAGCAAATCCCGCGCCTCCCAGGCCACCTCTTCCACATTCTGGGGATGCCGTGGTAACAGCCCCAGCTCCTGTTCCGACTCAGCCTCTGGCTCCAGTCCTGACACCTTCCTCAGCACCGGCCCCAGCGGATCTGACTTTGGAGGAGGAGCTGCAGGAAGCGATCCGGAGGGCACAGGTGAGGGTGTGGTCCCAGAGGGGTCTGGGCTCAGGCCCCGGGTGGGAGCCCCGTGTTCACTCCGTGTTGTTCCTACAGCTGCTTCCGAGCCGGGGTATCAATGACATCCTGGAGGATCAGGTGGATCCTGATGGTAGGAGCCGATCTCCTAGATTTGAGGGGGGTAGGGGCTGAGGTTCTGACTCCTGGGTGGGCTGGGGAACAGGACTCCGGAAAAGGAGAAATGCGATTTGGGGGACCGCGTCCCTGACTTCATGGGCTCACGCCCCATTCCTTCTCCTCAGACCTGCTGCCCCCCATCCCCCTGGACTTCCCCAGCTCCTTCGACGTCCTGTCCCCCTCCCCGGACTCCGAAGGCCTCTCTGTTTTCTCCTCTTCGCTCCAGTCCCTGGTGAACTCCCCTTCCTCCTCTCCTGGGGCTCCTACAGAGGCCTTGGACTGGCTGGAGGCCCTGAGTGGGGGTCCTCCGCTGGGTTCTGGCCCCCCAGGCCCCAGCATCTTCTCTGTTGACTTATCTGAGTTTGGTGGTGCCCAGCTGTGGGACCTGCTGGAGGACCCGTGGTGATGGATTCTGGGGCATCCAGGGACTGAGAACTGGTTGTGGTGGAGGCCACAGAGAGACTCCCCTGGAGTACAGAGCAACCAACAGAGCCCCTCCTGCGGCAGACACAGAATCAAAGACAACCCCTGTGCCCACCTGTCCCAGAACTGCTGCTGCCACCCAGCCCACCACCTGGACTTTGCCTGCCTGGCTCACCTGTGATCTGGCTGTTTCCACAATTGCAATGGGGTGGGGACTCCTGTGCTGCTGGCCAGGCCAACATGCTGCTTGCTGCTTCCTTTGGAGGCCTCATGGGTGATTTCTCCCCAACCCGCACCCCCACATGATGGCTGCTTGTTGTCTGGGGAATCTGGAAGGTGGTTCTGGCTGTTTGGATGCAGGAGAAGGGCAGGGAGGAGTAAGGAAAACAAAGAGGGATCCAGGCTCCTGGGTTTTAGTTGGAGGCAAGAAGATGAGAAGTATCCTGTCTGAGGTCAGCTTTTTTTGGAAGCAGAGCCTGGGCAAGATTCAGGTGCCAGTGATTTGCTTCCAGGAGAAAGCACTAAGGGAGTAAAGGGAAGGGATGGCAAAAGGGAAGAAGAAGAAGAGCAAGCGTGCCCTCAGGTTGACCAGCCACCTCAGCCTGATCCTGGGAGGCACCAGGAACTGGCACTTTGTGTCTCCCCATCTGGGCTTATGATTATTGAAGGTGTAAAACAATAACCGGGGCCACTCACCATTGCGATGGTTGACTGGGCTCTACAGGGCGGTTCTGCAGTTCCACAGGGTGCTGACCAGAGATGCAGACTTCTGGGGCCCAGCTGGGCTGGGACATCCAAGGGGAGGACTCAGGTGTGTTGGGGACCTTGGCAGGGGTGCCTGGACTGCTCTTTCTCTGTGGAATGGCGCACTTCCCCTTTCCACATGGTCTCTCCAGCAGGATGTCTGGGCTTCTGTGGTACTATCACCAGCTGGCATGTGTGTGATGGAAATTAGACATGGCCTGATTCTTGAGCCTGCCCACAGCAGTCACCACTGTCCACCCTCTTCTTCAGGGCCTTCTCATCTGCTTCTATGGTGTTACCCACTGGCTGAGAGTTCTTGCTCAGATCGTATAGAAATCAAGAATTGGCAAGGTGCAGCTCTTTCTATGCTCATGGCCCTGGGCTTTAAATGCCAGTGGCTCTCAGCTCTGTAGGTGTTAGTGCCACCACCTCACCCCACCCCCGCAACTTGGAGCATGCAGTTACTACAGGCCATGGGAAGTTCTGGAATTGGCAGCTCCCAGCAACTCTTCATTGCTCTCTGGATGTCAGGCATCTGTGTTACCAGCTCTGTCCACTCTTGGTGCCAGCTGCCTTAGGTGTTACCTAAGGTAGCTTAGCAAGGGCTACTCAAGACAGAAACCGAGCTGGATGTGGTGGTGCACACCCGTAATCCCAGCATTTGGGAGGCTGAGGCAGGAGGATCACCGAGAATTCAAGGCCAGCCTGGGCTACATAGTGAGTTCAAGGCTGGCCTGAACTATATAGCAAGACCCCCCCCCCCCCCCCCGTCTCAAGCCAAAACAAAACAAAAACAAACAAACACACACAAAAACCACAGAAGGGAAGCACTGTCTGGAAGAGCTTTATCAGAACCCATGCTGCACAGAGAGGAGCAGTGCCCAGGCCACAGAGTTCCAGGCCAGCTCGAGCGACATAGCAAGACCTTGTCTCATAAAAACAACAAAACGTATTTCTCAGAGTGTCCGTGGGGCACATGGCGCCACTGTCCCTGGGCCACAAGACATTTGGGGCAGCCACAGAATAAAAGTGCCTTCTAGGAGAACACTGGACCCTCTCCCTGTCTCAGGATTCAGGGCTACCAAGAGTGAGCATTCCTAGGGGAGGGAGAGGAAGATGCCAGTGCCTTAAAGACTTGGCTTGGAACTGGCCCAATCATACATCTGCTGCTTTTCCTCAGGCTGAACCAGACTGAAGGGGGGGAGGGGACTACACATGTGGGCATATCAGAGTGGGCATTGATTGCCACTGTGCCCCCTGCAGTCCACCATGAGCCATGAGTAACAGGAATCTGTGAGGGAGGGAGGAGAAGGAAGGGAGAAAGGACAGAAATGCTTAGGGATTTCCAGCCCAAGGACTGGCCTGGGGAGCAGGTCATAGGGTAAGCCATTTAGCAGCAGTGGCTTTGTGTATGTGTGTGTGTGTGTGTGTGTGTGTGTGTGTGTGTGTGTAAAACAGGGATTATAGGTGTGCACCATGCCTGGCTTTGTTTTTATTTTTTGAGGCTGGGTCTCACTGTAGTCCAGGCTGGCCTGGGACTCACTATGTAGCTGAGGCTATGTCCCCGAGTTGCCCAGCCTTCTCTCTCATTCTCCAGGAAGTTACCTATACTTCCCCTAATCTCGTTTCTCCTTCATGGCAGATGATGTGCTACATCCTGGCTTGGATGAATGTCATTTTTATCCTTGACCACCAGGTAAACCTCCTCTCTGATCCAATCACAGGATGGCTGCTTGTTGTAAGGTAACCTGAGTACACCCTTGTAACCCATCAGTGGAATCTCAGTCAATGACAGCAGCTGAAACTCCAGTCAGTCAGAGCCTGAAAGCTACCCAAACCTGCCCATGTAAGGCAAATAGGCCCAAAGCCAATCAGGTTGCTATTGACGGTCATTCCTTTTCTCTGGTTACAGATACCATCTGCACATGTAACAGTCTGGAGCAGTCTGAACCATCCTGGGCTGGAGTGCCACACCAATCTAGAATGTTTTTCCTGGCTAAGCAAACTTTGTTAAGTTTAACTGGTCTCAGTTTTTCTCTTCTTGTGGTACCCAGGATGGATCCCAGGGCTTCGTACTTGTGGAGCACATGCTCTACCACTGCCCCCCACCAAGCCCCATGCCCCACTCCCAGCTTTTAACAGGAAGTGAGTCAGGGGCATCCCTACTTCACTGTGTCCTCCTAGAGCCGACTCCAACTCCGAGCTACACCTGCCCTAGGTGGCCCCTCCCGTGGCCTTGGGGAAGTAGCCCCACGGTGGACGCCTGACTCCAGCGAAGGCGGTCAGGGTCTCTCTCTGGGAGGTGCAGCTGTGGCATAGTGACAGCTAGGCTCTGTCGGCTCCTGAAATGAGGCTGCTCCCACCACCACTGCCCTCCTGTTCAGTGCCACTGCCTGCTGGGAATATTACACAGGCATCCCACTTGCTGCTGGTTCGTTCCTACACGCCATGCTCCCCGTAGCTGGATGTGTCCACACAGCAGCTCGGATCACAGCAGACCCTGCTGCTAGAAGAGTTTCTGCTACCAGAACAGTTTCTGCTACCAGATAGGTGTGTGCCATGCTTATTTAAGGGAAGGCTAAAGAATATATATATATTTGAGACAAGGTCTCACTACATAGTTCAGGCCGGACTTGAACTCACTATGTAGCCCAGGCTGGCCTCGAACTCAATGAAATCTTTCTGCCTCAGCCTCCCAAGTGCTGGGATCACAGGCATGCACCACCATGCCTGACCTCTCAAGGGTTCTTGTATTGGTAGCTTGGTGTCAGTGTGGGGACCCTCCAGAGCTGGAGCCTCATGAGAAGTCTTTAGGTCAGGAGAGGTGCTGGGCTCAGAAGGGGTTAGCACTGCTCCTGGGGGACCCAGAGTTCTTGCAAGAAGGTCCAACAGGAAGAGCAGGCCTGGCCCTGCGCCCTGCTCTGCCCCTAGGATTGCTGTGTCTCCCTTGTGCTCCTGTCACTGTGATGCCAACTGTCCTGCGGTCCTCAGCAGACCTTTACAAATACCCAGCCTCAGAATGGAAAATGGAGGAATACATGTTTCCTCCATTCTTCAGAAGAACCCATGATAAGAATGAGGCTTAAAAAAAAATTTTTTTTTCTGCCTCTGAAAGAGGTTGCTCCTGCACTGAACATCTGGGTCTGTGGCAGCCCTTTGGGACCGCAAGGCACCAGGGCTAAGAGAAGACAACAGTGGCACAGCAAGCAGGCCAGTGGCAATAGGTCATCGATGATGCTGCTGAGCTGCTGGGCTGACTGACGCTGGATCTGGGCCACCTCAACCTGTTGTGGCAGGCGTGGGGATATGTTCTTTGGACCGTTGGCTCGACTTCTCTTACTTGAGCCCGGGTGTTCTCTTGCAAGGGGGAGAGGCCCTGTCTGTGCACGTGACCATGGGCCTGCAGGCCCGGGGAGGAAACTGCCCAGGACAGGCTGGCATCAGTGCTTGAGCAACGGGGACAGGTCAGCTGCAATGCCCACCCACTCCGGCAGGAAGGCCGCCTCGGGCTTGAAGACTCTGAGGAAGGGAGAGTCGGGCAGGGTGTAGTTAGCCAGGTAGACGGTGTC